GGCCGCTATGTCGAAGAAGGTTGGGGTGATCATTCCACCTGGGAGATGGAAAGTGTTATAGGTACTGTCCCAGAAATAAAGGGACGCGAATAGCAGAGGGTGGCTGTAGGTGAAACCAGGCTTCGATAGCTTAATCAGGTTATAGATGCCTAATTCTTCCCATTGCTGGGATTTCTTAGCTTCTACTTTCGTGAACCAATTTTTATAGGCAATATCAGAGGTGGGGCAAGATCGAAATGGCTTAAAATTACTTTTTACATAATCCAAAACAAAGGGGTCCTTAGGAGGAACAATTGGGGTTTCTATGGTATTTGAACTAGGAGATTCTACTGCCTTAGGGGCGTCCATTTTGTTAAATAAGGGTTTGAAGCTATAACAAACTGGGAAAATCGTCCTGGTGTCTTTTAATATTTCAAAAACCGTAAGAGGGCCATTTAAAGCTAACCTCTTACCAGCAACGTTGGTAGGAATGAGTACCTGTGACGCATACAGCATTTCTTTTTCTTTTGAAATCATCTGAGGGGCAAGTACGGATTGACCTTGGTGAGTGATGATTTTACTTTCCATGGTAGCTCCTGCAGTTTTTCCTTTCTTCTTGGAGACTTTCTTGAGTTTGGATGAAGTAGAAGAAGACATTTTTGAAAGATGTTGAAAGCTTGGATTTTTTCTTACGAGAGAAGGAGGGTAAAAGATTTAGAGTGTGAAAAGAAAAGAAAAAGATTAAGTTGGTGATGTTTTATAATGGGGAAGTTTAAGCATCCACCGAATAAGGGTGTGATATGTGGAGATCATGGGTTAGTGTGATGAAGAGGTGGCGTGAAGTTAACATGGGTAATAGGTGTGATTTAAAGATAATCATTATTTGTAACTGCACCATGCTGTGAAGTGGCTCCAGGCGGTTAAGGAATCCAAAAGGTGCTATGATTGACGTGACTGGAGTCAAATGCATTAAATGTTATGATGATTCGAAAGTCCCATCAAAATCTTGTGTAGGTGTTTAAAATAGGTATTTCTCAGAGGAATCGAAATACATATTTTAAAGGGGCAATTTGTTGGCTGAAGATTTTGATAATGTTATTAGAAGCCAAATGAATTAAACGTTTTGATCGAAATGAGGTAAAGCATCATGTTTCGAAGTAGCAGAAGCAGTGTTTCGAATAAGTATGTCAAAGCTTGGAGCTTCGAGTGGCAATTATGGGAACATATCTAAAGAAGTCTCGAAATAACAACAAGGCTGTGTCTGGGAAGAGAGTTTGAAACGGAGAAGTACCAAAGCATTTGAAATTCAAATGGAAGCAGGACTTTCGAAGTTTGAAAGTTATGTGCTGGAGCATTTGGGGACACGTGGAAAGACGAAAGAAGCATTGTCCTGCATGTTCTAGACGTGGCATAATCCTATAGCAAGACCGTTATGGTCGAATTAGTATAAATAGAAGTCTTAGTATTAGGATTTCGTGTGTCATATCTATTATACAAAATACTCAGTAACATTCAAACTACCACATGGCAAGGGAAACGAATGCAAGAGAAATGTATGTATAATAGCACCATGTATTTTTGATTTAATGAAAACCTTTTACCATTTCCAGCACTTTCCTTTATCCTTTTGTCAGATAACATTTACAAGTTTTCTCATTTACAGTCTTTTCACTTCGAAATCTCTTCTTCAAAGTTTTACATTTTAATGTTTTCTTCATATTTCAAGCACTTTATATTTCAGAAAACTGTCATATTTTCCATACCTTTACCTTCAAGTCTTATCCTTCGAACGCATATTTTTACTTAAAGTCATTTAAAGATTTCTTGCATTAAACGCTTTCTTCATATTTCAAACCTTTTACGTTCCAGAAATCCTTTATATTAACTGTTTTGTAAGTCGAAACCATTTACTTCACTTTTATGCAATTTTACATGTCTTTACAATTAGCATTTATTCATGTAACTTAGTTTTCACACACACATTTTGATTACATCTTTAGACTTTTAGAGAGAGAGATCGAAATAAGCCAAACACATATACAATATCAACCATGAATATTTGTTCGATCGTGAGAGTAACCTTAATATCCAAGGAGTCCTAGGATCAATCTAGTCGATCCTGTGAGTTACCAGAGGAATTGAATAACAGTCAGAAAGATTATTCGATAGTTTGGAAGACTAGCGGTTGTTTACCAGAAATCACTGGAAACACCTGGTCATTTGTGATGTACCTTGCATGAATTTAGGCCTCTTGAATGATCCAAATGAAGCCCACTTAACTCTTGATCCATTTGTTTGATATTTCATTTGATTTCTTTTATATTTAAATGAAAAAAATTCAAATAAATAGAAATGAAAATCAAAATAATGCATGGATAGTTTTAGAGGCTCTTGGATATGTCATGAGTATGTTTGAACTTTAAAAAGTTAGGCTCAATAACTTAAAATCACAAATTTGCTCAATTGAGATTTCATGCATTTATTTGAAAATTGCCCAACTTGTGCAACTCATAACTTGGTTAATTGTCATTTTTCTAAAGATGATCTTCGATTTTTTAGAAAGCCCAAGATATGCTCTACACTTTCTCTTTTAATTATTTTTACATTTGGAGACATTATCTTGATGTAAGTTGCCTTGACAAAAAGTGTTTTTTGTTGAGTTTTTGAAAATGACCTATAATGTATGAGACCATAACTTCCAAATGAAGCATTTTTTGGATTTGAGAGTGAAAAAAGAGTTGTAGAGAATAGAATTTTCTTCAAAGTGGGCTTTGGTTGGGGAAAAGTTGATGAAGCATGAGAAAGTTATGTCTGGTCAAAGTTCAGTTGACTTCTCATAAGGAAAACCCTAATTTGGCAAATTCTTGACTTTTGATGATCTGAGGACTTTCTTTGGGGAATCATGATCAACCCTTGATCAAATGATGAATATCACTTCAAAATGTTGATGTTAACCAAAAATCTTAAAGTTTGACTATATGTTGACCATATTTGACTTTTTGATCAATGTAGTTGATTTTCAAGCATTTGAGCCATTGATTGAACAAACTTGTGATGTAGGGCTTGAAATTTTACATGAGCCTTGTTAAGGACCTATTAAGAAACATGGGAGCCACTTGAGACTTTTGCAGACCAAATTTACTTGAGAAACTCCAAACCCTAGTTGCAGGCTTTTGGTCTAGGAGGTGCATCTTGACTAGTCAATCCTAGGGTGCCTTGACCATTTGAAGAGTCTTGAAAGAATTCTTTAAAGAAAAATGGGAGGGAAAATTTTGGGATACAACATGCATCCACTAAACAAAAGCCCATGGTCTATTCAGAATGATGTATAATAACCTGTCTTAGGTTGGTACCAACAAGCTCCTGCAGGGTGGGACGATACTCATGCATAATCCAATTAATCCTCCTTGGTTTTGGAGCTCGTCCGTGATAGAAAACAAAAGACTTCGTCATTTCAATCAAGCGGGTTCTAGACTTTCTTCTACGACTTTTAAGACATTTGGATAACAACCAGTTAAAAATGGTCGTGAACTTCACACAAAAAATAAGCCGATCAAATAAGAAACAAAACACTTATCTTAAAACAAGATTCAAATTTGAATGTCGCTGTAACACATTCAAAAAAGTTTACATGTGCAACTTCTCTATTCATGTATCGACCGTCACCTCCCAACACTAATAACTCATTCTTGTAATCCTCTAGTGGCAACGAATTAAAAAGAGCCAACAAAATGCACATAAGTTTAACTTACATTACAAAGCAAAAACACATTAACCATATAATAATATTATACACATTGCATGGAATTCAACAAAATCAGACAAAACCAACATTATATCAAATAAGATACCTTTTACTTTGCAAACATATTCTCTCATATTTGAATGGCCTTAGATGGAGACCGGATTTTCGATAAACTTCGAAATAAAAGATGTTTGGTTCTCTAAAGAGAGTATGAAGAGGAGAGAAAGAAAAAGAATTTCGAATTGTGATGGTCAGAGAATGAGAAGCGGTGGTCGATGATAAGGTTCGCTGAAATAAAAATCTATTCGATTTATTAGCAAGATCGTGAGATGAGGAAAATGAATATGAGATTGGTTTTTCAATCGGAGGTGGTAAAGCATTATTCTAAAGTAAGACAAGAGGGAATTTAAAAAATGTATTCAGGTATCTTATTAAAGGATTAAGGTGATTGATTCATTGTCCATGAATTAGTAAATTTCCAAAAAGGGTTTTTTGTATTGTAAACTAATTATATTAGAAAGGATAAATTAGGGAGATTGGTTCCATTTTTCATTTTTAATTAAGTAGATGATGTAATGTTAGTTAGTTAGTTAGTTACGACAAAGGGTAAGCTTTAGTCATAATTAAAATTAAAAAAAAATTAGAGAGTGCTTAGGCATACTTTATTTTTAATTAGATAATTGACGAGTCTTATTCAACTTTTGAAAAATATTTTTTATAATAAAAATAAATTATTGTAATACGTTGAATCTTTCATTCTTGAACATGTTATTAATATATAAGAAAATAATCTATATATTATATCATATTTTAATTTTCACAATATAATTTTAAAATTAAATGTTAAAAATAATAATCAACTTCTTGTCCGAGTATATTTTTTTATAAATAATATAATTCAAAGATACTTTAACGTTCAATTTATTAAATAGAAAGAATCTAAAATTATTTTAAACACATTATATTAAAAAAAACATATATCAAAGATTCTTTTATTCAATTTTTATGATTAAAAAATAATGACAAGATAAACTAAAATATTCTTTTATAAGTTTTTTCAAAAAAGTCAATTTTAAAAATTCTATAGGAATAATTGTGGATAAAATAATTTGGGGACAGCTTAGCAAACAAGCTTAGCACATGTCATATATGTAGAAAAATGGACAAGACGAGAATATTATACATAAGAGAAAAGTCAAGGAAACGAAAAACAAGTTGATAATGTGAAATTGAGAAAAAGAAAATTGGAGAAAGAAAAGAAAAAGAGAGAGAAAAAATGTTGAGCGAAGGAGCAAGTGTAACAGCAGTAATGGTTACAGTTCAATTCCTGGAAATGGGTGGTAACACTCTTATCAAAGCAGCAACCAATGATGGAATGAGTATTTATATTTTCACTGTTTATTCAAATCTTTTTGCTCTATGTGTCCTTCTACCAACCACTCTTTTCTACCATAGAAAAAGAACTCCTCCTCCAATTTCTACATCAATTTTCTACAGATTGTTTCTTCTTAGTTGCCTAAGGTATGAACAAACAAAGTTAGTTACCAACAAATTTACATATTATATGGAAAAATTTGATCCTGTTTGATTGATCATAAGCAACATGTTTGTGTAGTACTTCATCGCAGATTATGATGAATACTGGAATTAGATGCAGCTCTCCCACGTTGGCCTCTGCTATGATTGACCTTGTCCCAGCTTTTACCTTCATACTTGCTGTTATTTCAAGGTTTGTTTATATATATATATATATATATATATATATATATATATATATATATATATATATATATATATATATATATATATATATATATATATATATATAATAAAATTGGAGTAAGTTTTTTTAACACACTTCCTTTAAATTGAATATAGTATAATGATTAATATTTTGTAATTACCATTTTTACTTAATTAGTCATTTGATTAAGAGTATGTTTATTTTAACTTTAAAAAAAATTATTTTTTGTATTTTTTAAAATTAATTTTATAAAACTGTTTTTTTTTAATATTATAAGTATATTTTTACGTTAATTTTTTTTAAATTGTATAATTTTTAAAGATTTTTATAAATTACTTTACAACTCTTGTTTATTAAAAGAACTGAAATAAAATTTTAAAATTACAAAAATATGCTACAGTGATAAAAAGAATTCAAATATACTAATTAAGACGTTTTTACTAAGCAGGGTGAGATTCAAAATTTTGTTCCATTCACACCAATATATATAATGTTCCAACGATTTTTCACTTGAATTTAAATAAAAAATTAGAATTTTTTTAAAATTGTGCATAAGCAACAACTTTCTTGTTTTATGAAAATTTGAACATTTTTGATATTTTTCAGGGAAAGAGGTAAATTGAAAACTGAAAAATAATTTCTATTTATATTAATCAAACAACTCTTGGTAAAACAAGGCCAGGTTTGAAAAAATCATCATAAAATAAGTGACAATGGTTTAGGAAAAGATGTCATGTGAAGATGCCATGAAAAGTTTTATGTGTTTCACAAAGATGCAAAATAATTAAAAGCAACAATCGATTACATCTACATGCTGGTTAGTAAAAAAAATCTAACGTTAAAAATTGCAAATTTTGGTCATAAAAATCGACTGGTATAGGCCAACAATCAATTGGTCTAGTAGAAATTTTGATTTTTCTGAAGTGTGTTTTATTAAACAATCGATTGTAGTGAAAGAGCAATTGATTGGTTGACTTGAAAAAATTGAGAAAAAATATTTCTAAGTAAAAACAGACATACACAAAACTCAAACACATGACCATTGAGTAATTTAACACATGATTTTCAATCATTAGAGTAGATACATCATTCATTGATAGTATGCATAAGATATAATGTAATGGAAAAAATATTTTTGAGATGAAAAAGTAAAATCAAAGTTTAGATGGTTGAATATTTTATAAAGACTTTAAGCACTTTAAGATATCAACGAGTATTGAATTGTTTTATACTTTTGGATGAATAAAACTTTACTTAGTTCCAAGTTTGATCATTCATAACATAGTCATTTGAGTAGTTTCTTCATACTTTAATATTTGATCAAATCTTCACAATCTTGATTGTCTTTATCAAAACATCTTTATTGAAAACTTGTATTTACAATGTTGGGACATCTATTCATATATGTGTTCTTCTGCATAGAAACAACTTAAAATTCTATTGTTGTTTTGCATAATACATCCAATTTAAAAGATGTCGAAATATTAGATTTGATTAGATTTATTATTTAAATATAATCCAAATTGTGTAGATCCAAACTCAATTAGGATTGTATATAAATAGTCATAGTCTGTATCATTATTTCTACAATTCAATAATATAAATATTTCTTTATTATTCTCTCTTTCTCTCCTCACTAAAGTGCCTCGCGCACTAACAAATTGGTATTCAGAGCTTTTGATTATTGTTCTTGATCGATTTTTCAAGAACTTCACGTCAGAGATCATGTTTCTAGGGCAAGTGATTCAACCGCTGCAAAGATAGCTAGTGATAAGGGCATTCCAAATTCTCTTCCAATGCTTGACGGTAAGAATTGAATATGATGGAAAAAACAGATGCAATCTTTGTTTGGCTTCCATGAAACCTTAGAAGTGGTTATCGACAGCGTTTCTGCGTTGGCTGCAAATGCAACCGATGAACAGAAAAAAACCCACAACAAAGTCAAGAAAAAAGATTACAAGGTTGCTTATTGCATTCTGATGGCGGTTGATGTTGCTAATTTCGACAGAATCTCTCATGCTTAAACGACAAAGGAGACATGGGATATTCTGGTGAAGTATTACGATGGAGGTGAGAAAGTTAAGGTTGTCAAGTTATAAACCTTGCGTCGATAATATGAATTGTTGTCGATGGGAGAAGATGAAAAAGTTGCAGAGCATGTGCCGAAGGTTCAAAAACTCGTCCATCTCATGAAGTATTATGGTGAAACCATAACTGATAAAATGATACTTGAGAAGGTAAGGAGAATATTGACCTCTCACTTTAATCACATTATTGTAGCTATTCAAGAATCCAACAATCTTGAAACCACTAAAGTGGAAGATTTGGTTGGTTCATTGGAGGCGCATGAGATGAGGATTATCGAAAAGAAAAGAGTGCAAGAATCGTTATAGGCTCTGCAAGCTCACTCATGAAAAAAGGATGATGGTTCTAACAAATTCAAAGGCAAGTTCGACAAGACTCAGGGCAAGAAGTCTTGGTCGAAACCTCACAAACATCAGGTCGAAGATGGAGCTTCTAAATCCTTGAAAGGAGGAGGAGGAAACTATTGAAAGGGCAAAGAAGATAAAAAAGGTGTGAAGTACTGCTATAACTGTGAAAAATGGGGTCGCATAGCCAAGAATTGTTGGTATAGAAAAAACAAGGGATCGACAAGCAAGGACGAAGGAGAGAACCTTGCATGCCAAGATTCAAATGATTCTGAAAGTGGTATGGTGGTTATGGCTGCAGTTGCAGATAACCATGTCAAATCCAAAATCTGGTTTCTCTACTCTGGCTGCTCGAACCACTTAACTGGTCGAAATGAGTGGTTGGAAGATTTTGACAAGTCGAAGAAGAGCAAGGTAAAACTTGCTAATAATAGTTTGTTGCAAGCAGAAAGTACTGGAAATATAGTCTTTCAAATGAGTAATAGAGGGAAAGCTATGATCAAAGGTGTGTTTTATGTACCTTGAACAAAGTGCAACTTGCTAAGTGTTGGACAACTAGTCGAAAAAAGTTTCTCAGTTGTCATTAAAGATGGAGTTTTGAAATTGTTCGACACCAAGAACAATTTTGTCTTAAAATCTCCGTTGTCAAAGAACAGGATATTTAAGACTATGATCAGTTCGAATGAAGTTCAATGTTTGAAAACTATTGTTGACCACAAAGATAGTTGGTTGTGGAATTTGGGGTTTGGACATTTGAATTTTTTATCACTCAATCAACTGATTACTCAAGATATGGTTACTGGAATTCTAAGTCTTGAGATTCCTGAAAAACTTTGTGAAGGTTGTTTAGTAGGAAAGCAATCCAGAAATTCTTTCGTTTCGACTATGCCAATGAGATCATCTTGCATATTTGAAGTGGTATATTCAGATGTATGTGGTCCATTCGAAGAATATACAATTGGTGGAAACATATATTTTGTTTCGTTTGTCGATGAGTTTATTCGAAAGCTATGGATCTATGTGATCAAATAAAAGGACGAAGTATTTGAAATCTTTAAGAGATTCAAGATACTTGTCGAAAACCAGAGTGAGAAGAAGATCAAAGTTCTGCGAACATATGGAAGTGACGAATACACATCCAATATGTTTGAATATTTATGTACAGAACATGGTGTGGATCATGAGGTAACTTCTCCTTATACACATCAACATAATGGAATTGCTGAAAGAAGAAACAAAACCATTTTAGATATAGCGAGATGCATGCTGAAGCTAAAGAATTTGCCAAAATCTTTATGGAGAGAAGCTGTTTCGACTGTAATTTATATTTTGAATAGGTGTCCTACCAAAATATTGAAGAACAAAGTTTCTGAAGAAGTATGGAGTGGAAAACGACCATCACTGAGTCGTTTGAATGTATTTGGCTCTATGTGTTATAAGCATGTTTCTGATACAAGAAGAAGGAAGCTTGATGACAAGAGTGAACCTATGATTCAGGTATGATATCATAAAACTGGTGCATACAGACTATTCAATCCAGTTAATGAGAATATTGTGTTGAGTCGAGATATTATGATTAATTAAAATTCTTCCTGGTATTGGAATTCTAGCAATTCAATTAACAATCCATTGATCCGTTCTGATGACGATGAAGAAACTGATGAAGTAGAGGTCGAAGGGATTGTTAAGAATCCAGTCGAAGTCGAAGAAGGAGTAGTTGCTGACATTCCGGACACATTCGAAGTCGAAGAGGTTGTGGCTGAAACAAGCCAAATACCTCAAATAAATAGAAATCTTCCAACAAGACTTCATGATTATTAAGTGGTGGGTGATGATGAAGTCACACCAGATAGAGAATTAGTTTATTTTTCTTTACTTGCAGGTGCTGAACCAATTAACTATAGTGAAGCTTTGAAGACTAAATAGTGGAAGTTAGCTATGGTTAAAGAGTTACAGACAATAGAAAGAAACAACACATGAGAGTTAGTCGAATTGTCAGCATATACAAAAGCTATCAAAGTAAAGTGGGTATTCAAGTTGAAACATAATGTTGATGGCTCGATAGTAAGACATAAAGAAAGATTATTAGCTTGAGGGTTTCTTTAAAAAGAAGGACTTGAATACTCTGAAGTATTTTCTCCAGCAACAAGATTGGAGACTGTTCGACTAGTGGTAGCATTGGCATGCAACCAAGGCTAGTTGACATTTCATTTAGATGTGAAATCAGCATTTTTGAATGGTCCTTTAGACGAAGAGGTCTATGTAACACAACCTCCAGGGTTTGTGATTCATAAGGAAGCAAGTAAAGTATATAAGTTGCACAAAGCGCTTTATGGCCTCAAGCAGGAACCTAGGACATGGAACAAGAAGATCGACTCATACTTAGTCAAATTGGGATTTGTCAAATGCAAATCTGAGTATGGTGTCTATGTTCAGGTTGTAGAACAAGATATAACAATCATCTGCTTATATGTCGATGACTTGCTAGTAACTGGAAATAGCTTGGAGAACTTGTCGAAGTTTAAAGAGCTGATGATGAAGGAATTTGAAATGTATGATCTGGGAGAATTGTCTTATTTCTTAGGTATGGAATTACAAATGTCGAAGTAAGGTATGATGCTACATTAAAGGAAGTATGTCAAAGAAATACTCAATAGATTCAGAATGGATGATTCAAATCTTGCATCCTCACCTGTCGAACCAAATATAAAATTGGATAAGAATATAGAGGAAGACAAAGTCGATGTAACTTTGTTCAAGAAAATTGTGGGATCTCTGAGGTATGTGTGTAACAGTTGACCTGATATAGGTTTCGCTGTAGGATTATTAATCAGATATATGAGTGAATCAAAAGTGTCACATATGAAGGCTGCAAGAAGAATTCCGAGATATTTGAAGGGTTCGATAAACTGTGGAATACTATTTCGACGAGACTCTGAAGACAAAGAAGCAATAGTTAATTGTTTTTTAGATGTTGATTAGTGTGGAGATAAGGAAGATCGAAGAAGCACAATTGGATATTTCTTTCAAGTATTTGGTGCCCCAATCTCATGGTGTTCAAAGAAATAATCTGTGGTGGCATTATCATCTTGTGAATTTGAATATATAGTAGGATCCTATGCTGCATGTCAAGTAATTTGGATCAGATCTGTAGTTGAAGAAATAAAGGTTGAAGTGAAGAAACCTCTTGTATTGTAAATCGGCAACAAGTCATCCATAAATTTGACGAAGAATTCAGTTCTGCAAGGAAGAAGTAAACATATTGAAACAAGGTTTCAGTTCTTGAGGGAAAAGGTAAATCAAGGTGAACTTGAAGTAAGGCATTGCTCGAGTGAAGTACAGTTGGCCGACATTTTCACCAAAGAATTGAAGATTGACAAATTCTTGAATTTGAGAAAGAAATTAGGAATAGTTCATATTGACTATTTTTGAGGATGTTCGACAACTTGGATTATGGGGTGTGTTGAAATATAAGATTAGATTATATTTGATTAGATTTAATATTTAAAGATAATCCAAGTTGTGTTGACCCGGGTCCAATTAGAGTTGTATATAAATAGTCCTAGTCTGTATCATTATTTATACAATTCAATAATATAAATCCTTATTTCCTTTATTATTCCCTCTTTCTCTCCCCCACTAAAGTGTCTCATGCACTTACAAAAGAAACAATATCTTCAAACTATATAGTTGATGCTTTGTGGATAATTTGTTCACTAACTTGTGTGACATATACTAACTCTCCAATTTTTCCAAAAACTCATTCGGTGTCATCAGGTCGATAATATGATACATCGCCTCATCTGAAACACATAGGTGATTCAATCTCACTGTCTTCTCCTTCATCTCTGCCCAAACATTATCCTTTGTGACGTTCACTTTCGTTTCATGCAATGCTTTCTATAATCTTTGTTGAATCAAACAATCCTTAACTCTTCTTTTCAATAATTTGAAATTACTTGTATAGTTGAACTTTCTTACTTCAAAATTTGCTCAAGGGTTATCACCTTCTAATACCAATTGTAAGAACAACAATCAATATAAAATATTAAAAAGAAAAGAAGAAAAAAGACAATAAACACGATTGATCTTTGTTAATGCAGTTCAACCAATAATATCTACCTCTCTAACTATATAGCAACTATTGTTTCCTTGATTTCTATTTAAGTATTAGGATTCGTTAGAGTTAAAGTGCCAAAAGCAATATATATAAAACTAGGGTTAATTTTACAATAATACTTCTGAGCCTCCCACCCCATATATTTACCCATAGTAATATCCCCAATTTTTTTTTGTTATTAAATAATCTTCAATCATACTCAATAACTATAATTCTATATAATAATATTTTCTTTTTAATGACATATTTAGTGTTCTGCCGCAACGTATCAAAGTGTAATTATAATTGAATTAGAAAAAATTAGATTTGTTCTTAAATTGTAAAACTAAAAAAGAATTGAACTTTATGCATTCTGAAAACCAAAATGTATTTAATCTTTCAGGATAGAAAATCTAAATTTGAAACAACATAGCAGTCAGGCTAAAATTATTGGTACAGTGGTATCCATAGCAGGGGCATTAGTTGTGACATTATATAAAGGGATACCATTGATTAGTGGTGTTTTTCAAAATATAAAAATGGGAGCAAGTGGTATGTACCTCACAGGGAATTCAAATTGGATACTTGGTGCTTTTCTTCTGGCAACTGCTAGCTTTTTCCTTTCTGTTTTATTTATCACCCAGGTAACTAATTTTTTTTTGAATATTCATGCTATTGAAATTAAAGTCTCTCCTATCACTATTATATACAAAAATTCCCCTTTTCATATTTATTATGTACAGTTAAGATTAGTATTTCAATATTTGTTTTTAATTAATTAAAGTGTCTTGTATCACATTAATAGGGTTAGCTATTGTTAGCGATTTTATCATCTAGTATTAAAAGCACATAATTTCACAAAAAACAAAGAGAGAAAGCTGATGGTGTCTAAAGACAAGGATCATTTAATCCAACATCAATATTTACATTTGATGGTGATTATGATCATTGAAGCATGTTCACGGAGAACCTTCTTCATTAAAATTAGTATTGGATAGTTGTGACCACATGCCTCGCTCAACACATTGAAGGAGAAGAATTGACAGCAGCACAAAGAAAGAGCTCAAAAGAGATGTAGTTAAAGCACGTGAAAGTCAATAATTACTTGTTTAAATCTCTTGATAAGTCAATTATGAATAAAATATCAAAGAAGGAAACATCCAAGCAGCTTTGGGATTCAATGAAGATGAAATACCAGGGCAATTCTCAATTATACTGAGCCCAACTTAAGTGATTGCGCAGAGAGTTTGAGATCATTGCCATGAAGCAAGGAGAATCAATCAATGATTAATTTTGCATGGTAATGACGATTACAAATGATATGATGAATTATGGGGAAAATATGACTAATGTTAAAGTTCTTTGTGAATGGGTCCTCTAGATTGGCTATATTTTGTAAAACAACAACATGAAGAAGTGTTCAAAGTGTTCAAGTTGATCTTGATTTCTTAAGTTGTATAGAGGTGAAGAAGGGACACGTGTTGGATACGATTTCCTACCATGTTGCTATGACATCTGGGTCTTGCGCATTAGAACTTTGCTACTTCGTTTTGGAAGATTCTCTGATTAAAGATTGGATTGGATTTTATTGTTATTACTTTAACAATACGAATAACTGATTTATTTAACAACTGGAAGAAGATTAATTTAGATTTAAATGGAGATTTAAATTTGAATTTAAATTGAAACAAACAATATCTTGTTGGAGATAATCAACGGAAAAATCATTTATCCAACAAAATCATCATTATTTCTAGACTAAATCAAATTAAATATTCATGAAGAAAAGCCTAGAAGAATTATGCTTCATAAGGAGCTCATAACCTGCATAGGAATTCAAGCATTTATATTGAATATTTTAGAGTGCTATATTTACAAGGAGTCATTGTCATTTTATGCACACCACTATGTTTCAGTAACTTGGCATAGTAGGTTTGTCTAGTTGAGTTGTAAGATTCAATATCTCTCTTAGTTTTAATTGAGGTTGATCACTAGGGTTTATGTTTGTAATCCAAACACTAACATGTTGGTGTTTGAGAAAGAAAGTGATTAGGTTATCATATTTACGAGGATACCTAAATAGAAAGTCATTGGGTGGTGTTAGGAAAAGGCATAGGGCAACATAGGATTTGTTGTTGCTTGAAAGACTAAATGTACTCAGATACTAATAGTGAATTTCCTTTCTTGGGTTGTGGACTCAAAACTTTAGACATAGGTGTGATTTCACCAAACTAGGTTACCAATTCCTTGTGTTATTTACTACTTTTCTGATCCACCATATTATAGAAATATTTCTTCCATAATGGTCCAACCTGTTGGACAAGTTATTCCAACATCGCATGTGACATTTGTCTCTTGAGGAATAAAATTTCAATTGGCATCAAAGCAAACACCCTAGACTTTTGGGTGAGCTCCAGGGAAGATAAATCCTTCTCAAATGGAGATAATTAAAGATGAAGGATCAGTCAACAAACCACCTATTTTGGATGGTACCAATTATGATTATTATAAGTCAATGATGATTGTCTTTCTCAAACACATGGGCAACAAAGCATGGAAAATTGTGATAAAAGGATGGAAACATCCAGTGGTTACTTATGAATGTGGTACAACCAGGTTTAAACCAGAAGCTAATTAGACTGATGTTGAAGATGATTAAGCTCTTGAAAAGTTCAATGCTTTGGATTCTATTTTCAATAGGGTGGACAAGAACATATTCAGGTTGATCAACACATGTTCAGAGGTTAAAGAAGCATGGGAGATTCTTAAGACGACACATGAAGGAACATCCAGAGTTCTTATGTCAAGGTTACAACAACTTACAACCTAGTTTAAGAGTTTGAGGATGAATGAAGACGAGTCTATCAGTGAATTCCACATCATATTGCATGATATTTCCCACACTTCCTTTGCCTTAGAAGAAAAGATGTCTGAAGAAAAGCTTTCCAGAAAAATGCTTAGATCATTTCCTAAGAGGTTTGATATGAAAGTGACTGCTATTGAGGAAGGTTGGGACTTGATCAACATCAAGGTTGATGCAATTATTGGTTACTTGTAAACCTTTGAGACATCCATTAATGACATGGCTCTTTCCAACACTCAAGGAGGAATGACATGATGATAAAGAGGAGAGCATGTCAGATTCTATAGCTCCTTTTAGGAAAATGTTCAACAATTCCTTGAAGTATCTGGAAAAAAAAGTGGAGGACAAATGTCCAAGACAAGAAGTCCAACATCAATCCCCAAAAAAAAGGTAGGAGTGAAGACAAATATGATGACAATAAGTGTACTCAATTCTTTGAATGTGAAGGCTATAGACACATTAAATCATAATGTCCTACCTTTCTAAAGAGACGAAAAAGGAATTATCCATCACTTGGTCTGATTTTGATAATGAAAGTGAGGGAGAAACTACCAACAATGTGATAGCTTATTCTAGTAGATTTAAGCCTGAAAGTGAGTTCAGTTATGAAGATCTGATAGAAGAAGAATGTGATACATTATATATGTTATTGTACATCAAGTGGGAAGAAACATGCTCAACAATAACAATATAGAATAAAACCATTGGTGTTCTTCAGAAGGAATTAGAGAATCTTTCCTCAACCATCACAAGTTTAAAAAAGGAGGTTTCTTCACTAAACTTCCAGATAGATAATTTGATACAGTTAGAAAGAAATCTGAAAACTAGCTAAAATTCTCTTGATGGAACGATGGAGTTCGGAGAGATGTCCATTGATATTAAGAGAATAGATCTTAGGTTTAGTATGAAAGAGATGAAGATTTTATTAGAGAAACTTGTTATACCTGAAAGTAAGACTAAGGTTCTGATGTCAGACCACATGTCTCAGCATCGTGCTCAACACGTATCATCTCATCACTATAGTAACAAGAAACGACCTTTGATATGTGACAATTTTGGTAAATATAGACACACAAGGACTTATTATCATGAACTGCTAAAGCTGATGATCCGAGGACGCAAGAAAGTCTATGTTAAGAAGAAGTAGACAATCAATGCTACATTAACTAGCTCCATAGATAATACATAACACAAAGGTTCCTTAAGTAACGGTTGGTATTTTAACAGTTGGGGTACCTGACACATGGATAGAGATAAGACAACCCATGGAAATATAAAAAAAGTAAGAATTAAGGGAATAAGAAATTGACCAATTCTTGTCAAGAGGAATAGATACTAAGGAAGGACTCAAGGATGAACTTCTACAAATTCAAAGTTGATGGAACATACAAGGGTAAGTAAGTTCCCATGAAGAAGGTCATATTTAAGGAAGTTGACTGGAGTTTGCAGGATCTCTAGATTTATACAGATAAGATTTATGAAGAGGAAAATCCATATAAGATATCAGAACAGATGGTCCAAAATTTATGTCAAGAGTCTGAATCATCTCTTGAGAATGATTTCAGACTTAAGCAAGAAGGTATCATTGTAGGGAAGGTTGATGGTCAGGTTGGTAGTCTTCCCAACTTTGAATAACCTACTTTTTTTAGGAGAAGAAGATAGATAAGAATAGTGATTATGGATTAATTCATCCTATAAAAATGTCTTCTCATAAGTCTGGAAATATGATTAACCTAAATCATGAAAGGTTGTTTGGTGTATTAAAGTCTAACTACAAAGTGAAGTCTCTCCATAATATTCCAATTATTAAGAAGTATTATTTAAGTGTTAGATGAAGCAGGAGTGACAGGTCACTCGGGGTTAGGCCTTTGAGAAATTCTTATGGAAATAAAGATGTGGTAGACATCTTGTACGACATGTTAATAGAGTCTCAAGTGCATAAGGAGAATGAAGATCGTGTTCATGAAGATGCTAATGTTGGTATTACTATAGGTGATGGCGGTGTTAACAACCATAATCATGCATTAGAAGACGTGAATGAAATATTTTGTACTATAAATGAAAAGGAGTATAGATTGATTTCAAAAAACATACAATCTATAAATGATATGACTACTCAAATTAATGATATTTTTTATTTCATTAGGATGATAAATGAGAAAAGTGCCTATCTTAATAAGTACTTAAATGTCAAACTAAAGTTTTAAGTGGAGTGTATGATTATATTTGTTGACATGATAGAGAACACTGTTCAATCAAGCCGCCAAAAATATATGGATATAAAGACTTGACAGTCTATGCACCTTTTGCTAGGTGTAGAGACCCTTCCATATTTAGAAAAGATATAGATATCTAGGAGATAGAAAAATGGATGGGTATGATGTTAGAGGAAATAAAGTCCTTGAATACAAATAATGTATGGGAGCTTTCGACTTCCTAAGGGGAAAAAGCCATCGAATGTAAGTGGCTGTTCAAGAAAAAACTAGTTGTAACAAAAAAAGGAGGGGAAAAATCCAATGCTCGTATTGTAGAAAAGGAGAACTTACAACAAAGATAGATTCAGTTTGAAGACATCCTCTCTCTAGTTATGAGACATAATCTATCTTGGAAGTGTTAGCCTTGGTAGCAAGCCAAGATATGTAGTTAGAGCATATAGATGTGAAGACATTATTTCTTCACGGTAATCAAGATGAGAAAATTTACATGTGGGAAAAGAAGGATTCATGCACTAGACATGTAAGACTAATTTTTAAATTAAATAGGTCTTTGTATGATTTAAATTAGTCTTCAAAGTAATGATACAAGTGCTTTTGTTCATACATGTTTCAGATTGACTACAAAAAGTAAGTATGACTGTTGTATTTATGTTATGAGCATTGATGTTTGTTCTTTTATTTTCTTGTTATTGTATGTTGATGATATGTTGATTGTTGATAATAATTTACATGGTTTAAATGAACTGAAAAATCATGTAAAGAAATGAGTTTGACATGGAAGACTTTAGGGGTAAGAGTGCTAAAAAATTACGACTCTATTGAAAAAGTTATGTTGAAAAGGTGATGGGCTAGTTTGACATGAGTAATTCGGAGACTATGATTATTGAATTGGAAAACAACTTTAAGCTCTAATTAGATAACTATCCAAAGAGAGATGAAAAAGTTAAGTATATGTCAAAGGATTCTTATGATAGTATTATTGGTTGTTTTGTATGTTATGGTATGCACTAGACCAGATTTGGCACACTTTGTATGTCAAGTTTGTAATTTTATCTTCAAATTAGGAAAGTATCATTAGGAAGTAATTAATGATTTTTCAAGTACTTGAAGGATATAACAGATCATGGTATCATGTTTAGTAGTGAACATGGTGATCCTTCGATTGTAGGATATGATGACTCAGATTATGCTGGTGATATGGATGATATAAGATCTATAATAGGTTATGTCTTTAATTTAGCAAGAGAACCTATTTGTTATAAATGATCAGTTCAATCCATAGTGTCCATGTTGAAAAATAATGTAGAGTACATGACATTAGGTGAAGTTGCCATAAAAGCCTTATGACTAACATGTTTAGTGAGAGAATTGAGTGATGAGAAAGATGGAGTTTGGTTCCATTGTATAGTTAGAGTTTAATTTATATGATAAATAATGAATACTAGGACCAAGCATATTGATGTGAGATTTCCCAAGATTAAATATTTACATGCATCTAGATAGATATTACTTGAAAATATTCATACTGCAGGAAATCTAGTTGATATGTTTACTAAGTCGGACATCAGTGATAAGTTCAAGCATTTCTTGAACTTGCTAGTTGTTTCTTAGTTTTAAAAAATATGTTTACCATCCTAGTTGTCAGGATGTGATCGTCATGTCGAAAATATTCATTAGGGTCTAATATTTTGGCAAGATGGAGATTGTTGAATATGACTCATATTGATGTGAAGATAATTAGAATATATGTGAAACATATTAACACAAATCAATCATATTTATTATCTTTTACTTTTAGTTTCTCTTTATTCATATATACTTATTTTTGTTCCACTAAATTTCTCCTCATTTTATGTTACTTGTGAGTTAGGCCAACTTCCATTCAACCACACTTCTTCAATGTGTGGGGTTTAAATACTTCAAACGAATATTCATCATATTTCTTGTACAGTGTTAATAATTTATGAACCTACAATGATCCTTGAAGAACTTCAATCTTTAATGCACCCATATCACTTGATTCCTCAATTGATGCCACTATATGATCAAATTAAGGGGTGAGAGTTCTCATGACCTTCTCAATAATCATCAAATTAATTAGGTTTTCATCAGAGTTCTTCAATGACTTCATTGATGTTTGGATTTTTAACATGTAACCTTCTCATTCTCCCTCGTCATTTCCATGGAGAGTATCAGAAAAACTATTACAACTAATCATCTTTACTCAAGAAAGAATGAATTAATCCTGAAATGTGTGTTTTTATGATATACAAATATAAAGGTTTATGATACCAAATTATTAGTGTAAGAGGTATCTTACACTTTTGAAAACATGAAATGATAAGAATTCAGTGAGAAAAATAGTGAATTGAACTCATGTTTTTATAAATATGATTGAGTGAGTCATACAATACACATAAACACATATTTATATTTCACAAATCCATACTAGACTAATAACTTGAATTTCAAGTCAACAAACATCTTCTTAACAATGCTTCTAGATAACTATTAACAACCCCTTATCACCTATAAATAAATTACTTCACAAAAATTACCCAACCTAAGTTTTAAATTGTAGTTGTGGTTCTAATTTATATATAACCATATGTAAATTAGGTGTTATATCGTGACACCGTCGTTACACCAAATTTTGATACCATATGCATTGTTCATAATATTTATATAATGAATAGTAGTATTTTTTTATTTTTTTATAAATAATAAATAATAAATAATTAAAAACATTATTTTGTAATACAAATATAAGGATGTATCACTAACCAATTCACAATTATATTAACTATAAAATTATACATTGTTAATCACTTATTTTATTTATAATTTATTAACCATTTTTATTGTTTGATTAATCAATAATATACATAATATTAATCATATTCTAATATTAAATTATAAAATGTATTAATCAATTTTTACAATTTATTAATATATTTTTATTTTTTTATTGTTTACCAATTTATGAATGGTATTAACCACTTCATATATAATATTAATCAAAATTGATTTACCACGTACAACATAGTTTTTAATGTCAGTACACTAATAACCAAACTCTTTACTATATTAATTAATTTATAACACTCAATTAATCAACTTTGATTTCTCACTACTTTTTAATGTCAGGATATCTATTAATCAAACTACAGACTGTATTAACAAATTTTTTATACATTATTAACCAAAATTGTTTTGGAGAGAAAAAAATATAATAAGAAAAAAGTCAAAATTGTGCATGTCACTGTTCACATTATATTTGTGAATTGTGTATATACAGTGTAGGGTAGGAATTAAGTATCAAAATATCATTTCTCTATGTGAATGTAGTAGAGTGAGATTTAACTAATATTGTTTAAACATAAAAAAAACTTTGGTTCTGTGGGCTAAATGGAGATCATTGATATTTTTTAAAACATTGCATACAATTCACTTCCACCAATTTTAAAACTGATTCAATTTTTAATTTTTCATCTATATACAGACTTGGATTATTAGAGATTATCCTGAAGAGTTAGTGGTAACAACCATTTGTTGCAGTTTGGTGGTAATTCTATCTGCAATTGTAGCTCTCACTGTAGAAGGGTATTCTAAAATTTGGATATTGAGATGTAATAAAGAGTTGGTGTCTATATGTTATTCAGTAAGCATACTATTTACTTTTGTTAAGAAAATTTTAAAATAGTAAGTTCAAAATAGTTTACATATGATGTTTTTTGTTTTGTTTTGTGTTTGTTTCATTTATAGGCAATTTTTACTGTATCAATGAGGAGTGTTGTGTATGCATGGGCATTCCGAAAGAAAGGACCAATATATGTAGCTATGTTTAATCCTTTGGGAATGATCATTGCACTTGCCATGGGGGTAATAATTTTGGGAGACAATCTTTATCTTGGAAGGTAAATAAATACATCTAATTAAAGAACAAAAAAAATTGTGAAAAATAATTTAAATAATGTATTAATTCAAGACTTTTCTGAATTTTCTTTTCAAATAATTATTTTTAATTTTTTTAAAATAATCATATTTTCAAAAAATCTATCAAATTAATCATTTTTCAAACAAAAAAAATTCGCCACGCAGAGTAGTCATTCTGTGTGGCGCATGCATGCTATTTAGAGAGGAGGCGCCACACTGCATGACTTGTCCTCCTCTGTAAAGCCATGCAGTATGGCGCATGTATGTAATATCAGAGAGGAGGCGCCATCTACTGTGGCTTGACAATTGTATTTATTACATGCATGCGCCACAGTAGATGACACTTTCTCTCTGACATTACATGTATGCGCCATACTGCATGACTTTATAGAATAGGACAAGACACGAAGTGTGGCGCATTCTCTCTAAATAGCATGCATGTGCCACACAGAGTGACTACTCCTCTGTGTGACGAATTTTTTTGTTTGAAAAGTGGTTAATTTGATAAATTTTTTAAAAATATAATTATTTAAGAATTTTTTAAAAAAAATATAATTATTTAAAAAAAAATCGACTGCTCTTTCTATTTAAAAATTGGTTTTATTTATTTTTGCAGCATGATTGGAGCTATTATAATAGCGATTGGATTTTATGCTGTGATGTGGGCACAAGCTCAAGAGGAATACAAAACAAGCCAAAATAATATTTCCAAATCTTCTTTGGTCCCTCTTTTATTCGATTGATTTCATAATAAAGTGTAATTGGCTATAATTACATTAAATAAAATTATAGAAGACTCTTGCATTCATATTGTAGTCAACTTGTTTACTACAATTAATTACAAACTCATATATTGGAAATCAAAGCTATTCAAAGACAATTTATGTGGCAGGGTGTGGCAGATAAGAGGGGCATTGTTTGGGTTAGTTGAAAATCAATCTGTAAAACAAGAGAACAGGGTGGTTTAGGGTAAAATACATTGGTAAGTTTAATTAGGATTTTCTATGAAAGTGGTTTTGGAGTTTTCTTAAGTTTTAGTATTCAGATTTCAGATGTTCTAAAAGATGACGAGATATTGATCTCTGAATAAAAACACAATGATAAGGTATAATAATTAAAACAGAACAGAAAAATAAAGAACACACAGAATTGTTAACTCAGTTTGGTGTACAACATCACATACATTTGAGGGATACTAATCTAGGAAGAAAATCCACTAAATAGTATCAATTCGAAGTTAAACTCTCTCGTTTATATTTTCTCACTTAATCATTACTCGTGCTATATTTCAACCTAAGACACACCTAGGTATGGGACCCTCTCACTTCCCCTCAATTATATGTGATAAAACAACAAGACAATCAAGAAGGAGACACACTCCAATAAACATAACCTACTCTTGCTTATAAGCTTATGAGTGACTCACAATTACAATTCAACTAACATTCCAACTCAAGTATCAAACAATACAAGAGTGACTCACAATTAACAATGAACAAACAAAGCCCTAATAATTGATACTTTTACAAATGTGGCTCGTATCTTCTTTAGGTTTAGAGTCTTCATTTTATAAGCAATATCTGGTTGGATTTGGGCTTCAAAAACACAGCAGGGCAGTTGTTGGAAATCTGCAGAATCTTCTGCATACAAATAAGACTTCTATAATATGTTTCCTGAAATGTCTCAACAATTAGACAAACAAATTAATCTTCTAAATCCATATAGAATCTCTAATTCCCCAGTCTTGGATGTCAAATATAATAATATCCTAATATTCCCAGAATATTCACAATCTGTTAAAACTAAATAAGTCTAAGAGTACAACTGTAACAGACAAGATGTCGGATAAACTGGATAGGACATCGTGTCCAACATGTTCTCTCTGTAAGTTTAGAACATCCATTACTAAAAATATGATATTTGAGAAAATGTCTTTACACCAGTGTGATACAGTGGGACAACTGACTTGGGTGTTTTGCGTTTTATCGTAAATGTTGCGATTAGCAAGAGTCGCCACCGAATTTTCTTTTATCCAAAAGGAAAGGTTGAAAAGAACAAGAAAGACCTTTGAGATTATTTCTTGAGTTCGGAGGGTAGATTATAAAAAGGGAAGGTATTAACACCCTTTTCATCCATAGTTATCTATGGGCTCTTAGTTGCTTGCTAGATCACTTGCTTTTGTTTGAAAATGTGCTTTGTGGTGATTTTTGAAAGTATTTTGAAAAAGTGTCTTTGTTTAGGCGAACTTTGTAATAATTATCGTTCGTAAGAACGTATACAAATTGTTGGACTTTTGAAAATGTTTTCATGTTTTGAAAGTTTGTTTTGAAGGTGTTTGGTGTTTATTTTGAAAATAAGCAAGGATGTTTGATTTGAAAGTGAGCAAGCAACTAGGAACAATCTACGTACTCAAAAGTCTTTGTTCATTTCTTAATTCCTTTAATATTGCTATCTTACCATTGATTTGGTAAGAAACCTTATCTTTGGATGTAAAGGGACAGGCGTGGGTCATCGTATAGTCATGATAGCAATGTTGTGAGATATCTTAGCATTTCTCTTTGAGGGATTAAGATCATTTTGAAAGGCAACATTTTGTAGCGTCATCGAGGGACTATGATCTTGTATTTTTTGATTGTTTTTGCTAAGACACCCCACATGCATAACATGACCATTTTTATAAGGCAATAAAGCGGAATTTACCCTAGGGGTGCAAGTGTGTAAGTGTATTTGATTTACATGCATTGTTTATCTTGGATTAGGGTTTGCTACTTATTGATTTTAGTCTTGCCATACAAACCCTAATTACTAACATTTATACAAAAGCGATAAATTGCGGAAATTAAAATTACTACGCTATTACATCATTAGGGGAGGCGGTATACAAATTTACAAATGGGGATTGCAATAAAATTAAACCTAATTATCTATTACAACCATATTGAATAATGTACAAGAATTGAAAAGAAAATAATGCAAGAATGTAAATGGAAAATGAATGATTTTTGTTTGGTTTTAATGAAAGGGTTTAGTTTTGACATAATTATCGAAAAGAAAATGATTAATTAAAATTAAACAAATTTAAACTTAAACTAATTAAGAAAAGAAATTAAGTTTGAAACATTTTTAGGGTTTTTTATGAAAGGGGTTTTTAAGTTAATAAAAATAATATGAAAATTAATCAATTGAAAGAAACCTAAATTCTAAATTAATTTTAGATTAAAGAGAAAAATAATAATTAAATCTAAATCTAAATATTAATTATTTAAGAAAAAATTTAATTTGTTAGAAAAATAATTTTTTTTGTCTTTTTGTTTTATAAGGAAAATAAAATAAATAAGTGTGAGAATAATAAATAAAAATATTTTTGAATTTTTTTTATTAATAAAAATAATAATAATAATAATAATAATAATAATAATAATAATAATAATAGTAATAAAAAATAATAAATAAAACTGAAAGAAAATCAAATAAAAAAAAGAAAATTAAATGAATTAAAATAAATAAAAAAAAAAGAAATTTGGGTTAGGTGTGCAAAAGTAAAGGCAGGGGTTAGAAGAAGCGAAAAATGGCAAGGCCCACCATTGGAGGCTCAGCGCACCTGTTTGTGACAAAAAAGAAGGAAAATATTGAAAAAAAGAAAGCACTGGGACTTGAACCCGTGACCTTGAGTTAAACGCGCGCTGCCTTTGCCACTGAGATGGCTGTACATCCATTAACATAAGTGAAATAAATAATACATAACACAAGTCAAGTCTTGAAAATGAATATATATATATATATATATATATATATATATATATATATATATATATATATATATATATATATATATATATATATATATATATATATATATATATATATATATATATATATATATATATATATATATATATATATATATATATATATATATATATATATATATATATATATATATATATATATATATATATATATATATATATATATATTCATTCATTCATTTTGTCTCAAAATCCTTTTGATTATGACAAAAAGGGGGAGAAAGTAGTGATGATTTTGATACATATCTATATCTCTAAAATCTCATTGCTTACATTTATAACTATATATATACAAAAATCTTTAGAAATGTGTTTTAGGTACAAGGTAAATGAATTAAGAACTTCTAAAATTGAGAAGGTTCAACAAATCAAGCTGTGAAGAACTTCTAATGTTTGGAAGGGTCGGTTGATCAAACTCTGATAAAAGAAATTCTAGGGTATAGAATATTCTAAGAGATCGAGTGTTGATAGAGAACTTCAAACATACAAAAGGGTCTGATAGATCAAACTATGATAATTAACCTATCTGATGATTAGAAGGTTCTAATAAGGAAAGAATTACTGATAAAGCAAACTATGATAAATCGCTTCCACATGCTTCAATCACAATTCTGAGAAAGGATAACAATACTCTTAAGCTCTAAAAGATCATAGATTTATGATTCAAGGGGAGATTGTTTATCCAAGGGGGAGTTTTCTAAAATCTTATATTAATTTGTTTATGATTTAACCCTGTAAATTTGTTCCATCAAAATACATGGTTTTGTCATCATCAAAAAGAGGGAGATTGTTAGAACATGATTTAGATCTGCGTTTAAATCTCTGTTTTTTGATGATAACAATGAATACGTTTTATGAAGAACGATTTTAGTTCTAATGGTTTCATTAAGTGTGCAGATATCAGAATTCTAGATAGTTTTAATCAAGATATCATCAGAATCACCTTATACACTCAGAAGAAGAACCATTGAGTTCTGTTTCTAATGTAACATCAGTAGTTCTATGGAATGCAGAATGTTCGACAAGAAACAATCTCAATGAGTTTCTAAGAAGAAAAAGTTTCTGATAAGTTGTTGCTTCAAGATCAGAAATCAAGATTATACAAGAAACAAGCTTCCAACGCAAAGATCAGAAGTCAAGATTTGCTCGTCAGAAAAGGTGCTACTTATATTTCTGAAGACAAAGTCAATATTTTGAACATGAAGAGAAAGCTTCTACTTCCAGATTAGAAGACAAGACTTTCTCATCCAAAGAGTTACTGATCACATTTTTGAAGACAAAGTCAAGTTTCTGAAGACTTGGATGGTTCATGGAATACGCACTTCAACTTAATATGAAAAGTATTCCATCAAAAGAAAGGATGTAAGAAAGGAATATATTATGGACTCAATTCAAATCAACATAATATAGTCCATTAGAAGAAAAGATAAAAGGAAGACATCCACTTAAGCTAATCCACTCAACATAAGAACTATTGTGACAGTTTCTAAAGAAACATCAGCAGTTCCAAGGAATGCTAAATGTTCATCAGAAAGGGAATCAAGAATGTTCTCAGGAAAGTTTCACTCTCAGAAATCAGAGACAAATAATTCATGATCAAATACCAAGATGTAGCTGACATAAGCTGTTTCTTCCAACTCTATCCAAAGATCAGAATTCAAGAGATAAAAAAGAAGAACTCAACAAAAAAATCAGATCTACTGATATAAGCTTTGGCTTCAGAAATAAGACATCAAATATGCAGCTTAGAAAAGATGATTATCAAGAATCAAGGATCAATTCAAGAAGTCAATATCAAAAAATATTTTTCTCAAAGAAGAAATTGTTCATCAGATAAGTTGTTGCTTGTATATCTAAAGATAATATTTAACTATCTGAAAGACTCTGGCTCAACAACAATGAAGTATCTTCTGGATCATTTTCATCATCATATT